GTTGCTGTTTAGATTACATACAACAATGCATGTAAAAACTTAGCATAGCACTTGGCATTGAGTAAGTACTCAGTAAATGTTAACTGTTGTTATTTTTAGTGTTTTATTATCCCTTTAATATCCACAATTTGGAAATAAATTTGGACATGTCTTATTGCTTATTTCATCATGTGACTTCTGTGACAACTTCATTTATTTATTCATTGACTCTTTCACTTACCATGTACAATGCACTCCAGTAGATGCGATAGGTAAGACAAAGAAGAATCTAACATAATACCTGTTTTGCAGAAGCAGGGATATACAACACATACATCAATAAGTATAATAAAACACATAGGTCCCAAAAAGGCAGCACAAGCACGGTGATTGGACATTTCAAAGAGAGGAAGTGAGTACAGGGGATATAGGGATAAATAAGAAACCAGACCAGTTCTCAAGGAGCTTGATCCAGTAAGAAGGTAGACATTTACCCAGCTGTTATTCAAAGTAGACAATAAAGAGGGCCACAAAGGTAAGGTTAAAGAACTAAAGAGGGAGAGCCTAAATATCTCAGATCAGAGAAGGCTTTATAGATGAAGTGACATTAGAGTTGGCTTTGAGGGATGCATAAGATCAGGAATGTTGGAAACCTGTGGGAAGGATCCCTCAGACAGTAGGAAGATTAAGAGTGAAGAAGGCTCAGATGATTCTGGAAACCCTGGGAACAGTTGTTGAACAGTTATTAATAGCACTTAATTTGACTAAAACTTAGAGCTTAGGCAGAATAAAAGATGTGATTAGATGAGTGTGGAGCTTGAGTCATTTGGACTCAAGCCTGTTTTGACCCATAGACATGTTCTGTTGGTCAGCAAACATATTAAGAGTCTTAAAGAAGTCCTACTTTCTAGTTAGTACTCACAACTTTTTATTGTCTTACTCTAGAGGGTAAGTTAGTCTTCTTACCTATTATAGGGAGTACAGTATAAAGTTAAGCATACAAGCTCAGAGGATAGACTGTATTGGTCCAAATTCTGGTTTTGCCACCTATTATGTCTGCACCTTTATTTATGTCACTTAAACTCTTAGACCTTCAGTTTCATCAGCTATAAAATGGAAACAGTCAACACCTCATCGGGTAGGTATTGATACCAGGCATATAATAAATGCTTAGTAAATGTCAGCTATTATTACTGTGTTACGCACCTGCGTCTTGAAGCAACTCAGTTTACAAGCTTTACTTTGGAACTACTGAAATGTTTTTGAGAAAGGATGTAATATCTTTGCAATCTTTTGAGTCCTTGAATGTTCTACAAAACTCTACTTAAATTGTAATGACTAGTCCAGGGACATCGGATAATTCTGTTAAGCCCTCAGCTTCTGGAATATAGGTTCTAGTGATGGATCTCAGTATGATTACCAGAAGTGAATCCCTCACTCACCATCTGAGAGGGCCAGTGGAAGAAGAAACAAGTGGCCAATTTACTCATTGATGTTTTCCAAACCTGCAGTGATTCATGTAGCAACAGTTTCCCAGGATAAATCCAGAGCTCATATGAAAGCCTCATTTTCAGAACAAATTATTATGAGTTTTAAGAACTATACTCTTGAAAATCTTTATGATTCTAGGTGCTTCTCTGGTAACTATTTTTCTGTTTGTAATAGCTGAAAAATGGAAAGCATTTAATGTAGAATTTTTGCCCCTAAAACAGCAACTTGAAAATAAGAGTACAATAGTTTTAAAAACACTAGAGTGAACAGAATGAGTCTTTTTAAAAAAGTGTTTTGGGCTTAATACACAAGGACTGCTAATTATATAACTGTCAGTAATGTTTTCTGGCAGAGCCTAACACCAGCTTCTTGCAGTACAACAAATATGAAAATGCCTAGAAGCAAATCACAGTTGCTGAGTGCTGTGGGCAAACAAACCCAGGCCTTATCTCTTTCAAAGGCAGCAATGGAAAATACATGATAAATTGCACAGCTCAGTGAACATGTTATGTCATTGTGAAATGATTTTGATTCATGGTTATGTAGTTATCACAAAACAACTGACAAACCTTAGGGTATCAGAAACATTATTATTTGTGGGGTTCTGCTATTTTCTGTTGTAAAATTCAAGTGCTATAAAGTGGTTTGTTTGTTTTTTTTGTATATAAAATTCTGCATTGAAAGTGATATTTGCCACAGACTCTTTGGAAATAATTTTTTAAATTATGTGAATTTCTTCCAGAAGTATCAAAGAGCTGTGCTAGTAACTAATATTTTAAACAGAATGAATAATTCATATTTTTTACTAATATCTTTTATGAAAATTCTTTTACCTAAAAATAGACCAAGTCATAAGTCAATTTGATTTTTTTAAATAGAAATATAATATCCTTTTATATAGCTCGCCCATATACAGAAATTCCTGAATGTTTTCTATACAAGAGCAGTAGAACTAAGAATAAGAATAATTGTTTAAAGGAAGATTTTATAGAAGTAGCTTTTATACAGTCATAATTTCCTTTCTATGTTTGAGATATTCTACTACACTATCCTTATTTGTGGCTGAATCTCTGAAGTTTAAAGTATTAATTAGGCCATATTCCACCTGAAGTGTAGGTATTTTTTATTAATTTTTTTCTCCGTTGATGCTGTTGATGTTTAAACACCAGCATTTGACGTTTAAAATCTTTTCTGTTTGTGTTACAAGTGGCAGAAAGATAGCCTGGCAAAAAGATCAAATTGATATACTACTCAACCATTTGTTGTTTTTTTAAATCTCCTAAACTAAGACCCACTATTTCTCAACTTTTTTATAGACAAATATAATTCTACTGTTCTAATTTTTGCAATCAAGTTTTTTTTTTTTTTTTTTTTTTTAACATGGCTTTGGATGTGCTGAATCGTATCAGTTAATACATTGAGAACTTAAAAAGAAAAAAAAAAGAAAAGAAAAGAAAAGCTTGCCTGTTGGTACAAATGATTGATTGTTTCTTAGGTATGGTTTTTCCAATATATCACTATCATTTAAACCTTGAGTTCCTTTTATGTTCTGTTAATATATTTTAACCAATTGACCTTTACATATAGTTTGCATTTATTAAATTAAAATCACTTAGCAGCCTGTAAATATGATTTGAAACATTTCATAGTATTTTTCTTTTAGCCTTGGAATATGACAAACCTATTCTCTAAATATTTACATCATTGGAGAATATCTATGTACTTATGCAGATTTTGACTTAACATTTTCAAAAATGTCTGTTAAATTAAATGTAAGCTTTAAAGTGTAAAGCCATAGATCATGTAACTTGATACAAGTATTGCCACATGGCTTACAGCATTTTCTTGGAACATTTTTATGCCCTTTGCTTCTACCACCATGGCCACTTTCACCTTTATATTGAATACTCCCAAAATTTATCTATATGAGGATAATTTTAAAACATGAGATTTATGTTGCTATAAAGGAGAAATCCTTTATAACCACATAAAACTGTTGTCACCAGAAATTTCAGTCTAAGTTTTACATGAAAGCAGGCATATTTTATCTTTAATGCCTCATTAAACTTTCTAGAAATGGCAGTATTCTAGAATATTCTAGGTGAATGACTGCATATGTCTGTATTTCTTCTGAAAAGTTTAAATATCATCAGTGAAACAAACCTGAACAAATAATTTGTTCTAATAATTAAATCCATAGTACTTATTCTTCTATTTAATTTTGCCTTTACTCAGAAATGTTGCTTTATATATCAGCCATATCGCTTCTTTAAATGATAGCCAAATTAACATTCCTATGATAAACTGATAGCCTAATTGTTCCAAAGGTCACATTGTGTTGAATTCCAAATTTCATGTGTGGATTTGTGTACACGTCTGTGTACTTGTGCATAGGTTTATGTATACATGTGTGGAGGTGCATGTTTGTTTGTATATACACGCATCATAAGCCTGCATTGTGTGATTAAGAACATGAACTGAGGAGGCAGCCTACCTGAGCTTAAATACTAACCCACCTACTTCTTCCTACCTATATGAATTCGAGCAAGCTTTTTTAACCTCTTGCTTCAGTGTTCTCATGTTACAGAGTTGTTGTGGGTTTAAATAAGTCAATATATGTAATGCACTTTGAACACTGAATCCATAGTAACCACTTAATAAAATGCTAGCTATTACTATTATTATTATATATTTATTTATTCTATGTTATGTCTAAAGTTATATTATTTATACAAGTACCTTGGTGGGTGATTAGTAAGTAGGTATTTCACTAAAATAATGTTACAGATATGCCAACCTGATCTCACTTTTACTTGTGGATTCTTAAACAAAAGTCAAAGACTTAGAAACAGAGAGTAGAACAATAGTCACCAGGGACACGGAAGGGGAGGAAATGAAGAGATGTAGATCAAAGGGTACCAACTTGCACCTACATAGGATGAATAAGTCTACAGCTCTAATGTAAGCAGGAGGGCTGTAGTTAATACTGTTGTATTGTATACTGAACATTTGCTAAGAGAGTGTATTTTAGGTGCTCTTTCCACCAAAAAAATAGGTAATTGTGTGATGAATATGCTACTTTGATTGACTGTAGTAATTATTTCACTCTGTGTGTGTGTGTGTGTGTGTGTGTGTGTGTATAATAAACATCATGTTGTACACTCTATAGACAATAAAAGTAATAAAGTTATGCCAACATAATATTTTGAATTGTGATCACTTAGTTAGATAAACTATGCTATGTTGTACATTATTGGTGAGAGGAAACAATTGGGAAAAAGAAAGAAAAGTTGTATAACTTTGTGGCTCACAAGCTGCTCGTCAAATATAGTGATATTTGTTGGTTTATTCATATGTAAGCCAAGTGCACATCTGTAGTATGCAGGGAGCTAGTGTTAAAATGACACATGGTGTGTCCTGAACATCCAGGAATGTACAGCACAGCTGCCTACAGGATAGACAAGGTTAAAAAAATTAAAATAGCAATGCTGTGTCAATTATGCAAACTTAAAGTGGTCTTTCTTTTTCAGGGGGCACCCAAGCCAATTGCCATTGAACCATGTGCTGGGAACAGAGCTGCTGTTTTGACTGTGTTTCTTTGTCTACCACGAGGATCATCAGGTGCCCCTCCCCCTGGGCAATCAGGTATGATAAATGAGGAGCTTTCAGCAGTTGAGCAAAACTTGTAGACTGAACAGAAGGAATAAAAAATATCACCAAATAGCACAGTAAGGAACTTTACAAGGTTCTAATTTAGAGCATGGTAAAATTTTGTGAGAATACAAACTTTTACCCAAATATCTATATATCCACATTATTATAAGTTTAGATTTTCCAGTGTTTCTCTGAAAAACACAGGTTGAATATGTGTATATTTGCATATAATATACACATGTATGTATGTTCACACCTATACCGCCATTAATTACTGGATTTACAATAAGAAATCTCGTTAGCAGAGCCACCATGTTCTAGACCCTTCTGGCCAGCTTCCTTTCTTCCAGTATGTGTGTCATATTGGAAACCACATTATAAATATGATTAGAAATTTGTTTTGTGAATATAGAACCAAACTAGGGAACATGTATGTTTGGAACGTTGAGTTGCATCAGAGGATGATAGCTTCGTGCAACCGTCTCAGTAGGTTTAAGATACTCCCTTGCTTTCAGCACCAGATGGAGGTCATGGGCCAGGTGAACTCTCTTAGGTGGACACAGCCAGGCTTTGTTCTGTTTCTCCTTTTCCTACGGGAAAAGCATATCTTTTTTATTTGGGGATAATTATACCTGTCCTCTTAGAGGTCTTCTCATTGCAGTAGTGTTGTCTACATTCTAAGCATGCTCAATGTTGAATATAACTCAAGCTTAAATCACAAACCACACCTATTTCTCTCTGTGCATATACTATTCCATCTATTTATAGTTTTGAATTTTTCTGTGTCCTGATTGTTTTCTCTTTCCAACCACTGCTGGAATTAATGCTTTTTGAGGGCAGTGATTTCAATCTGTTTTTCTTTTCAATTCCCCTTAAGCATAAAATAAAATGCTAGCAATCTGGCAAGTTCTGAATAACAGTAATTGATGATGAACTGGCCTCCTTGCTTATTTTATCTTTTCTTACTTCCCTACTTGGCTTTGAATTTGCTTGCCACTTTCTTGACTTGTGTCCAAGCAGACACAAAAAATGGAAAATACGCTATTGTATGCCTTGTAAACGATAGATATTCATGTAACTGAATTTTTCCCATATATGGGAACAGAGTTTCCATCACCTTCAGATTCATCATTCATCGTACCTGATGATATCTTATTGCAGGAATTTCTATCCAAAGTTCATCTGTGGATGTTTATTCAAAGAAATAAACATTTTCTGCACCTTCTCATATATTGAGTGAATGTCTTGTTCTTTTCCTTCCAGCACCTCTAAGGTAAATGGGATGCAGTACGTAAAATAGTTTGGCACTGGTCAGATAAGATGGATAATTATAGGTACTTGCACAGCTAATGGAAGTATTGTTTTAAAACTGGGATGATTTCCAAAACAAACACTTCACTAATGAAAACAAGTCTATGTGATATACACCAACGTTTTTTCGATCCTTCACAAGATGAGCAGACTGAAAGCAACTGCCAATTCTCTGTCCCTTTAACCTTTGAAGTCCTTTTTGACTGATATGAAAGAGCCAAGTAGCAGTGTAAACCATTACCTCAGCTGTGTTTTCTAACAACTGCTTATGCTTACTAATGGTAACGTTATCTTACATATGCATCGTAGTTTACTCTTTATAAAATGTTCTATTTTTCACATGTGATCCTCATGGTAGGGCTGTGAGACAGGTATTATAAAACTATCATTATAAATGAGGGGAGTGAGATGTAGAAAGCATCATATTTCTACACTCAAGGAACTATTGGGGAGGGGGGATACTCAAATGTAGAACAAAAGAATAAAAAATACTTTTTGCTGGCATCTCAGTTAATTTTTCCTGATGATCTGTAGCAGAGAGCCTCTCTGTAATCAGCAGCCCATGTCTTTACAAAAGCAAGCATTTGGGTGAATACTGAAAATGTCTACAGGGTTGATACAGCTAGACAATAGATTGAAATAGCTTACCATACTTTTTACAGAGCCTGAGAATTAACCTAGAATGAGTATCTGCATAATTCAGGATGAGCTTGTTCTTTGTTTTCTAAAAAAAAAGTTGAGTAGATTTTTCAAGCTCTTTTTAGAGGAGTAAGACAATAGTTCTACTCCTTTAAATTGCAGTACTATCTGTTATCTACATCTATTTTGTAGATGGGTAAGATGGGTAGATGGACAGATATGTCATAAAGCAATTAAGTAAAATGTTAATGGTAGGGTCTAGGTGCTAAGAATACTGGTATTCATTATAAAATTATTTTAACTTTGATATATGTTTAAATATTTAATAATAAAATGTTGGGAAACAAGAAAATAAAATGTCTTCACTGTAAGAAAAAGGCAGTATCTGTAGAGAAAATTTTTCCATCATCATCTAGGTTTTCCCCGAATAAGGCAAACTGACACCAATATATGAACTAAATGACTATTGTTTTTCACTCCTCATCAAAATATTTAGTGTGTGTACAGCCAATCAAATCTTAAGACATTTGAGAGGAAATATATTCCAATGATTATTTGGGAACAAAATTGGCTCTTGGGAACCAAATGCTGACAACAGTTATCTCATTGCTGAAGTCTAGTTTATTCTACATTTTGACAGAAAGTCCTTATATGTGCCCGTGCTTATCCCAGTGCCCTACACATAGAAATCAGTTAATAAATTATTTTGATGATGGTGATGACAATGACAGGAGACTTGAGAACTGTGACCTTTCGCAACCACTTGAATATATGAGCTTCAGTTAATTTCAGTAAAATGAGCAATTGGATTTGAATTCATTGATCGGTTCCCAGATCCCTCTCCTAGAAGCCCTATGTTCTCTTGAGCGTCCTCCACTACTTGTGCAGGGTGACAGGTTGGGGGAGTTGAGGAGGAAGTAAAGGTGGAGCTTCATGGGGACACTCCTGAGCCTACCCCCACTGTGTGAAGGACAGGGCGCCAGGAGTCTTCTCTTGGCTGTTGGGCTATTTATGTCTCCGTTTGTTAGCATATCTGTCCAGTTATTAAATTAGCATTCGTTATTAAAAGTATTCTTATAGTACTTTGCATAATCTCAAAATGTTTTTTAGCAGACTCCTTGTTTGAAATGTAGCTTACTAAATGTCAGTGTCATGTGTACTCTTCATTGGCATGAATAAGAGCATTTAAGAAGGATGAGCTTGAGGATATGCGAAGGCAGAAGCATCCCATGAGCATGGTGGGTTTCTCTCATACACTGAATTTCAACCATGAAAATGAGTGACTCAGAAATGCATGGGTGCTAGTTTGGCCGTCTCTTTTAAGGAACAGTGATTTTTTTTTAATTTAAAAAATAGCATTATCTTTGGACTTTACATTCTTTCCACCAGCAACTGCTTCAGTAATATGTGGCAAGTAATGCTTAGACATGGCTGTCTTAGTTTCTTTCTTAAATGTGTCAACTGCCTCCCCTATGGCTCTCATCTTAATCAGAGGTCAAAAGAAAAACTATGCCTGCCAACTCATCCCTTAGATTACCCATGCACTAATCTCTTTTTAATATAATAAATGTAGGTGCTTGGGAGAAATTCTCCCTTTAAGTGGCTTGGAATAGTAAGGCAAAAGATATTAAGTAGGCTTTTCAGCATTCCCAGAGCTGACTAATTACGTTTCCTGCTCCCCCACCCAGTAAACCTGCTGCTTCGTTTCTGTATTTTCTTCGAGCAACCACTGCCAGCCATGCCAGACTCTGGTTAAGGTGGGATTTATGCTGTTGTTTATGCATTTGTTCACTGTGCAACCACTTTGTCTTCTGACCTCAAAGTGGTTGAAAGGTTGACATGAAAACAGGACACATTAAGTGACTCTGCTGCATGACGTTAAACCACCAAATGTGTCTCCGGCCACCCCGGACAGCATGGTCCCCAAGCGTTTTAGAGGCACATTAAGATGAAATGTGGACAAAGTAAATAGAGTTCTTCAGGAGCATAAATTGACAATGATAATGATTGCTGTCACTTTGTGATGGAAGATTATGGATTTCATAGTTTATGGATTCTTCCTAATGAGAAGCGGATTAACTTTTCTCACTGGATCAAAAATCCCAATGGCCCAAATAGCCACTACTGAAAAGAAGCTATGTGCTACAACTGGAAGTAGAATTTTGCCATGATCCTGCCTCATATGTGATTAATTATAACATTACCAAAATCACATTAATAGAAAGCCTAAGGTTTTGAAATTTTGAAATTTTCTACTTTAGCCTTAGAAGTTTGGGCAGGATGATTAGATTATTTTGAATATTCTAGAAATATTACATAATGTATAAAATGATAGTCTACCCATAGTGTCATGGATGTCTTTCTTGTTTATAATGATAACAATAAGAGGACTTTAATTTAATGCAAAAAGGAAAGAGAAAGAGAAGCAGACATTATATTAAGTGCTTTATATATTCGTTGGTATAACCCACTTAATGAATCTGTGGAGATGATTATTCCACTTTTACTATTCAGAAAACAAAAACTCTAGAGAGATTAAATGACTTTCCCAGGGTAAATACAGCTAGTGAGTAAGTGAGCCAGAAATCAAACCCAGGGCCATTGGCTCCTCAGTCTGTGCCACTCTCCCTCGTCACTGTGCTTCTGTGGATGAAGATACTGGGGCAGAGCCCTTATTCCTAAAAAACCTTTAAATCCGGAGTCAAGGAGGAAGGACCTAGTGGGTGTCTGCTAAACAATGGGCTTAAGGTAGTAAGGACAATTTTATTTTTGCCAGTGACTTCAGAAATTTGGTAAAATGCAAACCAGTGCATGCCCATGGGGCATCTGCTAATGAAACTGGACTCCGTGTATGTAATAGGAAAAAAGCACATGAGCTCATAGGAAAAGAGCTTAAACTTGTATGTGTGAGCTCTGGACTTGGAGTCACAAGCCCTAAGATCTAGACCTAGCTCTGCCACTAACTAGCAGTGTGACCATGGGCAAGTCTTTCAGACTCTGGGTCTTCTATGTTTCCATGTAAAAAATGATGGGGTTGGGTT